TTTCTCCAAAAAAAACTGCAGCATTTTCATTGTTTCTCGACTTTTCATGACCCCAAGAGTACGAAAAAATACGTCTCTCGTTTCCGTGTGTCTGTCTGGTTGTCTGTCCTGTCCGGATTTTAATTAGACAAATAAACTCCGAACTACCGGACCGATTGTTAGCAAATTTTGAATGCATGTTAAGAATATCATGTAGATGGTAAAACGCTGACCACAATTTATCTGCTCATCCCCACTAACATTGGAATGACGTCATCTCCAAAGTTTACATTCCTAAATGTTATTTAGATTTGATAAAATAACACAACTCCTGCACCTGTAGTTTATGAATCCGTGTTGAGTTTTTGTTTTAGGGATCCAGATCTTTGGAAAAAAATCAAAGTCGTATATTATTTTATAATTTATCTTTAAAAGTGCAAAATAGAGTGTTTTGCAATCTTGCAAATGTTTTAATGTTATCGGAAATATGGTCAATCGTGAATAACAATTTATCCGTTTATTTTCTAAATTTAATGTTAAAAAATAACATAGTCCTGAACTTTTAGTTTATGATTATGTGTTGAATTTTTACCCTAGACGTCGAGATTTTTGGGGAAAAAAAGCACAATTTTAGAGATAACCATTTTTCGAATTTTCCATTCCGCAGCTTCTCAATTTCTCGAATTTAGACAGATATTTTCCCATATCTCGATTTCTCGACTTCTCAATGTTTCGGTGTTTCTTTTCAATTCTTCAATTTTTCGATGTTTTGATGATTCGATTTCTTGGTTTTTCAATTTTGATATTTCGATTTCGTGATTTTTCAATTTTTCGATTTTTCAGTTTTGGGATTTTTGAATATGTATTTCGATTCAACTTTTCAAATTTTCAATTTTTCAGTTTCCCGATTTTTTACTTTTCGAATTTTAGAGTTTTCGGGTTTTTCATGTTTCAATTTCTTGATATTCGATTTTTCAATATTTTAATTTTTCAATGTTTTATATGTATTTTATTTAGATTTTTCGACTTCTCGATTTTTCTATTTTTCAGTTCTCGATAATTTTTGGACGTCTCGGTTTTAAATATTTTGGTTTTTCAATTTTACGGTTTTTTAATTTTTTGATTACACAATTTTTCGAAGTCAGTATTGGAATTTTTTAATATTTCGATTCTTCAATTTCTCAGTTCTTCAGACTCTCGATTCTTCAAATTTTGGATTTCTCGATTTTTTGATTTTTGGATTTCTCAGTTTTACGATTTCTCAATTTCTCCAATAATCGATTTTTGATTTACCCATTATCTCGATTTCACGACTTCTCAATGTTTCGATGTTTTTGTTCAATTTTCCAATTTTTCATGTTACTGATTTTTAAATTTTTTGATTTTTCTAAATTTTCAATGTTTTGATGTTACGATTTCTTGATTTTTCAGTTTTTCGATTTCTCAATTTTTCGTCTTTTCAATTTTTCAATTTTTCGATTTTTTTCCTTTTTGAATTTTTAAATTTTAGATTTTTCGCATTTTTCATGTTTTAATTGTTCAATTTTTTAAATGTTATTTAGATTTCTCGATTTTTCTATTTTCCAGTCATTCGATATTTTTGGATTCGATTTTTAACTTTTCGATTTTGGCCTATTTTTTCTAAATTTTTCCATTTTTATTCCTGTTTTCAATTTCACAATTTTTTCTCATTTCAGTTTTGAATTTTTCATTTTCTCGAATTTTCATTCAATTTCCGATTTTTCATTTGTTGCGATTTTTTAAATTTTGGATTTTCCGGTTTTTTGATTCTTCGAATTCTCGAGCTTTCGATTTTTGGACTTCTCTATTTTAGATGTTTTGGTTTTTTATTTTTTCGATTTTTTAAATGTTTTATTTTTCGATTTTTCAATTTTTCAGTTTCTTATTTTTTCGACGTTTCAATTATTCGATTTGTCAATTTTGTTTAATCTTATTTTTCATTTTTTTTTTTATTTTTCGATGTTGGCCAATTTTGATTACTTGATTTCTCGATCTTTTGATGTCAACTTTTCAGATTTTCAATTTTTGCGAGTTTTGGATTTTCGATTTTTCCGTTTTTCGATTTTTCGATATTTTAATTTTTCAATTTCGTCCTTTTCGTAATTTTTCGTCCTTTCCGCTCTTTTTTGTCCTTTTTCGCCCTTTTCGTCCATTTTCGTCCTTATTCACCCTTGTCGTCTTTATAGACCTTTTCATCCTTTTTCGTCCTTTTTCATCCTATTTCGTCCTTTTCGTCCTTTACACAATTTTCCGTCGTTTTCGCTCTTTGTCCTCCTGTTCGCCCATTTCGTCCTTGTTTGTCTTTTTCGCAATTTTTCGTCCTTTTCTCTCTTTTTCGTCCTTTTTCGTCCTCTTCGTCATATTTTGTCCTTTTCGCAATTTTTCGTACTTTTTTCTCTATTTCCTCCTTTTCGTACTTTTTCGTCCGTTTCTTTTTTGACTTCCTTTTTCGTCCTTGTCGTTTTTTTTTCGTCCTTGTCGTTTTTTTTTCGTCCTTTCCGTTTTTTTTTGTCCTTTTTCGTCCTTTTCGTGCTCTTTCGTTCTTTTCGTTTTTTTTTCTTCATATTTCGTCATTTTCCGTCCTTTTCGTCCTGTTTCGTCCTTTTTCGTTTTTTTCGTCCTTTTCGTCTTTTACATAGTTTTTCGTCCTTTTCGCTCTTTTTCGTCCTTTTGCGTCCTTTTTCGTCCATTCTCGTCCTTTTCGTCCTTTCCGTCCTTTTTCGTCCTTTCCGTCCTTTTTCGTCCTTTTCGCTCTTTTTCGCCCTGTTCGTCCATTTCGTCCTTTGTCGTCCTCTACCGTCCTTTATCGTCCTTGTTCGTTCTTTTTCGCCCTTATCGTCCTTTTTCGTTCTTTACACAATTTTTCGTCCTTTTCGCTCTTTTTCGTCCCATTCGTCCATTTTGTCCTTGTTCGTCCTTATCGCCCTTTTCGTCCTTTTTCGTCCTTTTTCTTCCCTTTCGTCCTTTTCGCTTTTTTCGTCCTTTTTGTCCTTTTTCGTCCTCTTCGTTCTTTTTCGTTCTTTTCGCAAATTTCCGTGATTTTCTCTCTTTTTCGTCCTTTTTCGTCCTTTTCGTCTTTTTTCGTCCTTTTCGTCCATTTTCGTTTTTTTCCGCCTTTCTCGTTTTTTTTTCGTCCTTTTTCGTCCTTTTCCTTCTTTTTCGTCCTGTTCGTCCATTTCCTCCTTGTTCGTCCTTTTTCGACCTTTTCGCAATTTTTCGCCCTACTTCGCCCTTTTTCGTAATTTTTCGTCCTTTGTCGTCCTTTATCGTCCTTGTTCTTCTTTTTTCGTCCTTCGTTGTCCTTTTTCGCTCTTATCGTCCTTTTTCGTCCTTTACACAATTTTTCGTCCTTTTTCTTCCTTTTTCGTCCTTTTTCGCCCTTTTCATCCTTTTTGGTCCTTTACACAATTTTTTGTCCTTTTCGCTCTTTTTCGACCTGTTCGTCCTTTTTCGTCCTTTTTGTCCTGTTTCGTCCTTTTCGCAATTTTTCGTCCTTTTCGTTCTTATTCGTCCTTTTCGTCCTTTTTCGTCCTGTCCTAGATTTTTCCGCTTTTTCGATATTTCAGTTCACCGATATTTCTGTTTTTCGAATCTTTAAATGTTTCATTTTTGCTGTTTTGATATTTCAATTTTTAGATTTCTTAAGTTTTACATTTTTCGATATTTAAAATTTTTAACATTTCAATCTTGGGAATATTTTATTTTCTGGATTTTTCAATTTTTTGATGTGTTTATTGCTCGAATTTTCGATTTGTCAATTTTTCAATGCTTGGATTTGTAGATTTTTTTATCTCATTTTCTCGATTTGTCGATTTTTCAGTTTTTCGATTTCTCAAAAAGCATTTTTTATTTTTTTTCCCATTGGTTATCAGCTTTAAATACACTACATTTCAAAAAAATGTACCACCATGAAAAACAGACTTAGAACGCTGAAATTCTATAGAAGTTAAGCATAAAGTCAAACAATTGATTAAATTTTCAACAAAAACTGACAATATTTAACCAACAACCCCCTAGACATACTGGAAATCAGATATTTTGAGGCAACGTGTCCCAAGCTATCTGTGAGAATGGACGTGTTGGGAGGATGAGGTAGTAAATAAACAACACAGTCTTTTATCCATCATGTCCCAGACATGTTCGATTGGATTTAAATCAGGTGACCGTGGCGGTCAAGGCAAAAGATTGACACTATTTTCGGCCAGGAAATCTAAAGTCAGAGTAACGATATGAGGACGGGCATTATCTTGTTGGAAAATTACTTCTGGAAGGTCTTGTAGTCTCCGTTTTACCGTGACATGAGGTCGGCCAATTTGTCTATCAACTTCACGAAAACTTAATCCTTAAAATTGCGTAAGTTGATGAAAATTTTCACGTCTTCGAAGTGAGTCTGCTCCTTGAAAGTGGTACATATTTTTGTGAAAGCAGTTTATGTTGCTACTTGTTGCGAAAAAAATTCGAGATTAAATCTCGCTTCCACAAAATTAATTTTTTCTCCAAATGCGACTTTTTTCAAAGTATTAATTCAACTTATCCCAAGAACTACCGCATTTTTTCTCTCGCTCGCAAAAAACTAACGCTCGGTTAAATTAATCTCAAAAATAAGCCAGATTTATAACGCCAACGTCGCTCAGGAATGCCGCTTACACTTCGCCGTTTTATAAAAAAGCCAAGGTACCCAACGCATCCTTGCGGCGTCCCCGCCAAACCTCAGCCCGTTACATAATCGGCGTAAAATCGCGCTGCATTTAATAAATTACAAAAAATCTCCAACTGAGGAAAAAAATAGAACGTGGAACTGGAGGATCGGCACACAACTCATCGTAATGAAGCCATTAATTAACTCACCGCATCCAATTAGTATCTGTTGCTCGGCTTGAATAGAAAAATATTTCATAGTTTAAACGGCCGAGAGTCGCTTAATAACTCTCGTTTTTTTCGCTCGCTGAATTTACGTTTTCGTTTTGTCGGCCGGATCGATGTACTGAGGTGGTTCGTAGTTGCAGGATGGTGCTGGTGCTGAACGGAGTATTGCAGGAGGAATGCCCCCCGGACACCCGATCCCTCTACCACGCTCACCCCGTGTACAGGGAGACGGCCGCCCAATTACTGGCCATCCCCAATAAGGTCATCGGCCCGGTGGGGTTGCTGTACGTGCAGCAGAGGGAGCTGGCGGCGACCGTCCCTCACGACAGTAAGTCTAATTCATTCATCCCCTCCTAAAACTCGATGACGTCGTCTCAAATTAATGCTAAGTAATCCTGATGGGTGTTTTTTGCAGAGAACGTGAACATCTTGGGCTCCGACGACGTCACAACATGCCTGATCGTGGTGGTACGACACTCAGGTGAGTCCGTACGCAATTAAGAAGGAAATTAAGAACACGAAACCGATATATTTCGAGAGCGTAATTTATGGCTCTCCTCATTCTTTATTCACTCGTAACTAAGTATTCTAGCTCCTGTCATGTTACAAAAAGCGAAACAATAAAAACATTCAGGCTAACAAGCCTGTAATAAAGGAGATTAATTATCAGAGCGTTATAATAGTTCAAATGAACATCCATTCATATTTTATTAGGTTCCTGGTTTAGTTCCCAGGCATTCTGCATAAATTGCATAAGTGTTTATTCGACTAATTAATTAAATGTGGCTGTTATTACAGACAATTAACATTTAATTTAGAGTCAATAAAACGACTTCATTCCTCCGAGGCCAAGCGTGGACGTGTTGAGGAAGTTTTGATTGGGTTTGTTGCAACTTTTACCTACATTATGCGTGTGTGTGGGCAGGGATTACAAAATTAACTGCATAAAGAAAAAATTGGTCTAAAGAGTTTAGACAGTACTTCCCTCGCTGTCGAAAACTTGACGACTGCATGCCTATTGTGTTTTTTTTCTCATTACATTTTTGTAGTGGGAATTTAAAAAAAATTGCGATGACGTCATCAACATTTTTGCAAGGACACGTATATCAGTTGGGATAGATGTAGTGTAATACTAAGAATAAAATTATTATATTCTCAAATTTTCGGGAAAATGAATTGGGTCGTTTGAATATTGATTTGTAATAATCAATAAAATAACGAAACAATTTACTCACGTATACCTACGTATCAGAGGCAACTGAAAATCGTGTATGTATAAACATTCTTAATTTAAGATGACAGGCGTAACAGCATACGCGAGAGCCAAACAGAGAAACTGTAAACAAAACGACCGTCGGTTTTATTGCTTCGACTTCCGCTTATTATATAAAACATTGGGTTTTATTTTAATTCTTGACGGTGAAATTCACAATTGGTTGATTATAAACATGTCTATTTCACATTCGCGGAACCAAGTGAACGCATAAAACAAATGCAGGTCTGTAATGTTAAAGTCGATGTAAATAAGCGTGCTACCCCTATGTTTCAACCGAGTTTTTCCTTTAACAAATTTTGTGTCTACCAAATTGGGTTGGTTGGGGTGTAATACTAATAATAAGTGTTGCCTTTAATTTAATCAATAAAATAAATTGACTTCATTAATTTTTTTGAACCACCTCTTAAGAAAATCTAAAAAATATGAATGGAATGATAAATCACAAGTACAAACTCATCATATTTTTTGCATTTTAGATAGGATTTATTCAGCAAAATTTAAGGGTGACGTCATCAATTTTTTTAGGAGGGATGAACAAATACATTTTGAACAAAAGTTTACCATGCTTATAATAACTTTAAAATATTCCCAAGATTTCAAAGCATTCGGTTTTGTAATTCCTGATTAAATCGATAAAATAAATTCACGCCTTCATTAATTTTTTTGAGTCACCCTGCATATGCAAATCCAAAAATATGAATGGAATGATAAATCACAAGTACAGACTCATCATATTTTGTAAATTGTAGATACGATTTATTCGGAAAACTTTTGAGCTGACCTCATCAGTTTTTTGTAGAAGATAACCAAATATATTTTGACTAAAAATTTATTATGCTCTTTATAACCTTAAAACATCTGCAAGATTTCAAAGCATTCGGTTTTGTAGTTCCTGATTAAATCAATAAAATAAATTTACGCATTCATTAATTTTTTTGAGTCACCCTGTATATGCAAATCGAAAAAGTTTGAATGGAATGATAAATCACAAGAAGAGACTCACCATATTTTGTACATTTTAGATAGGATTTTTTCAGCAAAATTTTGTGGTGACATCATAATTTTTTTAGGGGGGACGACCAAATACGTTTTGATCAAAAATTTACCATGCTTATGATTATTTTAAAATGTCTTCAAGATTTCGAAGCATTCGGTTTTGTAGTTCCTGAGTAAATCAGTAAAATAAATTTACGCTTTCATTTATTTTCTTGAATCACCCTGTATATGCAAATCCAAAAAATATGAATGGAGTGATAGATCACAGGTACAGACTGATCATATTTTGTACATTTTAGATATGATTTATTCGGCAAATTTTCGAGCTGACGTCATCAAGTTTTTGGAGGGGATAAGCAAATATATTTTGACTAAACATTTATTATGCTCTTTATGACCTTAAAACATCTGCAAGATTTCAGAGCATTCGGTTTTGTAGTTCCTGATTAAATCAATAAAATATATTTACGCATTCATTAATTTTTTTGAGTCACCCTGTATATGCAAATCCAAAAAATATGAATGGAGTGATAGATCACAAGTACAGACTCATCATATTTTGTACATTTTAGATATGATTTATTCCACAAACTTTTGAGCTGACGTCATCAAGTTTTTGGAGGGGATAAGCAAATATTTTTTGACTAAAGATTTATGATGCTCTTTATAGCCTTAAAACATCTGCAACATTTCAAAGCATTCTGGTTAGCAGATTAAAAATTAAATTTCAAAATGTTGTTTTATGATTTTGATTTTTTTTCCAAAAATCTGGACGTTTCGGGTGAAAAGTCGATTCAGAGTTGTAAACTACATGTGTAGGACTATGTTATTTTATACAATTTAAAACCCATTTACTATGTACAATTTTGAAGTGACGTCATCGCATTAGTGGTGGGGATGATTAGACAAATTTTGGTTAGCGTTTTACCATCTACATGATATTCTTAATATAAGTACAAAATTTCACAACAATCGGTCGAGTACTTTCGGAGATTATCTGTCTAATAAAAATCCGGGACGGCAGACGGACAGACGGGCGGACAGACGGACGGACAGACGGACAGACAGACGGAAATGGGAGACCTATTTCTTCGTCTTCTAGGGGTCATGAAAGATCGAAAAACGTAAAAGTAGAGAGTCGGCCGACGGACTCGATTACAATACTTCCTTTGCTTACGCTCGGGAAGTAAAATCTTTCTCGGAAACATTAGTATATGTACATGATCGTTTTCCGGGTTGGAACCGTGTAAATTGAGTTTTTGGCATCTTCAGGAGCAGGGTTAAGAATAACGCAAAAGAGCACCGTAATTCAGTATGTCAACTATACAAGAGGCGAAACTCAATTTACACGGTTCCAACCCGGAAAACGATCATGTATTGATTTCGATCGTGGAAGCCTCCGAAATTAATTCCTACATGTGTTTGTTAAATCGTTGACTTTAAAATGAAATAACGACGGACGTAATACAAATTAAACTTAAAAAAAAAATCGAGATTGCTGTTCAAAATACTCAAGCTTTATAAAAAAGCATCTTCTCGCTCGTCGCAACACCTCGCCCTCCCCCGTTATTAATTTTTCGCGCCGTTTTGTCTTTGCGGCCATTAATTAGCCATCGTCGACGAAAAAGCGCGCCAACGTATAATTTACGGCGAGTGCCGATCGGGGCGATTGGATTACGTGATGATGCGAGACATAAGAAAAAGCGAATTAATATTCAAAGAGAGACAAAAAAGCGGCTTTGGTCGCGACCAGCCGCCAATTTATTCAAAAAAAGTGCGCCTTCTAATGAGACAAATGTGCGATTATGATGCTTAAATTATGAACTCCCGGTCATCCGCGACGAAATTCAAACGCGTCGTTGTGATCGCGCGTGCTGTGGCATCGTAAAATGACCGGTTTGATTTAATGTATGACGCGCCAAGATTTTTTGGTTCGTATGGTCCTAGATTCGCTTTACGTCGCCTTTTTGCTTTCTTTTCGCCTCCAACACACACTCAGCTCGCTCCGCTTCGCACGCTTGTACAACAATAATTGTCCGAGCACAGCCGCCTCGCTTTTTTCTTCGTTTTGAGCTCGTCGTTGGAGCGGGACGGCGCGAAAAGCCTCCACAAGTACTAATTTCGCAGCGTGGCCTGCAATTATACGCGTAAACCGCACATTATAAACTGCGACTCGTTCCTCCTTTTTATCGGGCGGACATCGACGAAAAACGACCGCGAGGAAATTTCACGGAAAATCGACCGCGGTGCGACGCAGCCTTAGCACACCCACGGCACGTCGCATTTAATTTCGTCGCTTACACGTGGACGCCATGTATAAACACTTTACGATGTTTTTGGACAAAAATGGGTCATGTACATTTTGAAAATGTTACGCAATGAACATAAACACGTTATACAACTTTTGCCGTATTGGTTGTAGGGGTTGTCGAAGAAAAGTGGAGGATTTAAGTTGATTACTACAAAAATTTACAATTTAAGAGATGTTTTAAGTTTCTTGTTGTCGAATTAAGTCTACACATAATATTAAAAAAAAAGGCAAAATGTAGTCCCGCCCACCCACCCTATCTCAATTGTGATGATTTTTTTATTCGTCGTGAGCTAAGAGGGCGGAGTTTAACTGCAAAATCTTTATTTCTCTACGAGAAGTCAAAAACATGTTTTTGAGTATCGTGTTGTTCAAAGAATACTATGTGTATTGAGAAAAAAATAGAGCCAAAGATTAGGCCGCACCCATACCCGCCCCGATCTCAATTCTCATTGTGACGAATTTTCATTGGTTGTCAGACCGAGGGGCGGGGCTTAATTGTAAGATCCATATTTGTCTACAAGAATTTACCATTTTAAACATGTTTTAAGTTTCTTGTTCTGAAAAGTCAACTACGTATTTTAAGAAAAAAGGTAAAATATAAGCCCCGCCCACCCGCCCTGATTTTTTTTTTTTAATCGTCGATAGCCAATGGAGCAGAATTTAATTACAAAACCCTTATTATTTCTCTAAAGAAATTACCATGTAAGCCTGGTTTTTGAGTACCGTGTTATTAAAAAAATATATATATATTAACAAAAATTAAACCCAAAGATTAAGCTCCACCCATTCCTGCCCTAACCTAGGGGCGCAGCCTCATTGCAATATTCATATTTCCTTACAAAAATTTACCATTTTAAACATGTTTTAAGTTGCTAAGAATAAAAAAATCATCACAATT